GGTCTTGGACTGAAGTCAATTATTTTAACCAGGACACACAAGATCAAATATTGCTCTCAGTTACATCCATGCAATTACTTTAAATTCATTGGGAATCCACAGGTGTAACTGAGGGCAAAAAGTTGATGATCAAGCTGCTAACATTCCAGCTCCTCCAACATTTATTTTAAGTGGTTTAAAATAGGGTTGTCAAGCGATTATTTTTTTAATCCTGATTAATCGTGTGATTAAACAATAATAGAATACCATTTATTTAAATATTTTTGGATGTTTTCTACATTTTCAAATATATTGATTTCAATTACAGCACAGAATACAAAGTGTATAGTGCTCACTTTATATTTATTTTAATTTTTTATTACAAATATTTGCAGTGTAAAAAAACAAAAGAAATAGTATTTTGCAATTCACCTAATACAAGTACTGTAGTGCAATCTCTTTATCATGAAAGTTGAACTTACTAATATAGAATTATGTACAAAAAAGTTTGTTTACATTTGCAAAAGATAATGCTGCCTACTTTTGTTTACAGTGTCACCTAAAAGTGAGAACAGGCGTTTGCATGGCACTGTCGTAGCTGGCGTCAGAAGATATTTACATGCCAGATGCGCTAAAGATTCATATGTCCCTTGATCCTTCAACCACCATGCCAGAGGACATGCGTCCATGCTGATGACGGGTTCTGCTCGATAACGATCCAAAGCAGTATGGACCGACACATGTTCATTTTCATCATCTGAGTCAGATGCCACTAGCAGAAGGCTGATTTTCTTTTTTGGTGGTTTGGGTTCTGTAGTTTCTGGATCAGACTGTTGCTCTTATAAGAATTCTAAAAGCATGTCCATACCTCATCATTTTCAGATTTTGGAAGGCACTTCAGATTCTTAGACCTTGGGTCGAGTTCTGTAGCTATCTTTAGAAATCTCACATTGGTATCTTCTTTGCATTTTGTCAAATTTGTAGTGAAAGTATTCTTAAAATGAATAACGTGCTGGGTCATCATCTGAGACAAGTATAACATGAAATATATGGCAGAATGCAGGTAAAACAGAGCAGGAGACATACAATTCTCCCCCAAGGAGTTCAGTCACAAATGTAATTACTGTATTATTTTTTTAACAAGCGTCATCAGCATGGAAGCATGTCCTCTGGAAAGATGGAAGAAGCCTTAAGAGGCATATGAATCTTTAGTGCATCTGGCACATAAATATCTTGCGAAGCCAGCTACAACAGTGCCATATAAATGCCTGTTCTCACTTTCAGGTGACATTGTAATTAAGAAGTGGGCAGCATTATCTCCCATAAATGTAAACAAATTTGTTTCTCTTAGTGATTGGCTGAACAAGAAGTAGGACTGCATGGACTTGTAGGCTCTAAAGTTTTACATTGTTTTGTTTTTGAGTGCAGTTATGGAACCAACAAATACATTTGTAAGTTGCATTTTCATGATAAAGAGATTGCACTACAGTACTTGTATGTGGTGAATTGAAAAATACTATTTCTTATCATTTTTACAGTGCAAATATTTGTAATAAAAATATAAAGTGAGCACTGTACACTTTGTACTCTGTGTGTTGAAATAGATATATTTGAAAATGTAGAAAAACATAAAAATATTTAATTTCAATTTGTATTCTATTTAACAGTGCGATTAATCACAATTAATTTTTAATTGTGATTAATTTTTTTAGTTAATCACCTGAGTTAACTGCGATTAATCAATAGCCCTAGTTTAAAATGAATGGGAGAAAATTCCTTAAATTTTCCTCCAGGAGTTATAAATACCTTAGAAGGCTTCATATTGCTATAAAGCTCTTACCCAGACAGTTGACGATCCATTCTCATGTAAGCTAAAACCTTCATTAGCCAATTATACTGATCCCTTTCATCTGCCAATTTTCTAATTAATAGACATTCACTTTCAGAAACTTTTTTTTTTCATTTTTTAGCTTTTGTGTGTGTGTTTTTAAAATGCTGATCCCTTGAAACCATCTGCGTGAGAGAGAGAAAATTAATCTCAAATAGAATCTGCCAGCCCAATCAATTATTTGTACATCCTAAGGTAAAACCCAAACAAAATATAAACTTAAATTAATGTTTTCTATGTGCAATGCTGAAATTAATGTCTCAGGCAACAGAATGTACCTTCTGAAAATGCACATCCAAGAACATGTTTGTCCTGCTTATATCGTTAATGCTTTTTTCTTCAGAAATTATTGTGTTGTAAAATGCAATTGACATTAGTGATCCTGAAGGACAGTTTTTCTAATAGTACTTTTTGTCCTCTATATTTAAATTTGCTTTCTTTTTCTAATTGCCATCCTTTCCCATCCCCTGGTCCTCTTAGTGTTTCTATTCTATATAAGCACTTATACCTCTGTCAACATACTGCACTAAGTGACATGACTGACATCTGTCACATGTGTATTCTGTTATCCTTTCCCCAGGAGAAGTGTGTGGAGTGGAGTGTCTTCTTTTGGTAGGATGTTTATTATATAGATGTTGCTCTGTGTTTATATCAGAGAAGGCAAGGTCAAAGAAATGTGGCTTGCACTTGGAGTGGAATGTGGTGAGGTTTGTGATGGTTGTTAATGTTTGAGGAGTTTCTGCATTGTATTCAATTAAATACTTTGTGATTTATACACTGATGGATTTTGTCTGGTGTGTTATTTTGGGTTTCTAAATGACTATAAACATGATTCCCTTTTTATAACCATGTAATAGTACAAGGTTTAAGTTAATACTGACATATTCTTTATGCAGTGTTCAACAAGATACATCCTGTATTAACATGCGGGGTGTAGGAACTGGATGGCTTTATTGTGTAGTGTAGGAGTCTATCTGTTCTTGATGACACTCTTAATGTTGCTACCAAAATCTGTTTTCTTCACATCCTCTCTTACTGATGTTATTTTACAATACATCTGAGCAGAGAAAAAGGGCTCATTTTAGGTCTGTGTATGAAATGAAGTAATTCAATAACAAGATGTATATGAAAGAAACACCTAGGGTAGAAGGTCAATGAACATTATCTGTGACTTTTAAGAACCGTTTATTTTATTTGAAGAAAATAGTAGACATTTTTTCCCATCATGAGTAATCACTTATTTCTTTAATGCCCCAATTAATTACATTAGTTAAGCACATACTTAACGTTATGCACGTGAGTATTTCAACATGCTTAACGTTAGCCATATGCTTAAGCACCTTGCTGAATCAGTGTCTTATTCGGCAGGTGAGAGCTCTGAGGCCCTTGAATTAAAAAAGAAAAATCTGACTCTTCTGTATGAAGAGCTTTGCAAGTCCCCCTCCTCTAATTGTATCATTATTTTTAGATCAGAATCAAAAGTTGTCCATAAATATACCTTACTGTTGCCAGCAGGAGGAAAATGGTATTAAAAGCCATGGTACAAAAAATCATAAACCTAATTAATGATATTATAAATCGAAACTGTCAAGGAGGGTAGCTGTTTCCCATACTGCAATCAGGTATTAGATTACACATCTGTATAGATAATAATATAGCCCTCTATATAATATATACATTTCCAAGAAGCTTGGAATCTATGGCACAAAGAATTAAACACTTAGGGACAGGTTTCTAAAGGTAGAGGATACAGTGCAGAAATTAACACAGCCCCTTTGAAAGTCAAAAGAATTCCTTTGGCATTAAGATTTGAACCAAAAAATGGCTTGGGGGTGAAGATGACCATCCCAGTAAAAGGATCAAACAAAATAAAAACATACAAAATCAGCATATAACAAAAAGGGTAAGGAGACACAGTAAAATAGGATAATCACTCAATAGCACTACAAAAATAAGTATACAGCACAGTAATTGCTACCTTTCACATATAGTTGATATTTAACATTCATGAGGACCCATCAACATTTTGTAAAGTGAGTTAAGGAAACATCTGGTAGTTAAAGAAGCATCTGCTAAGTGTCTAACCAAATAAGCATTTCACAGTCTCATCACAGAAGATATGATTATAAGCAAGGTGACTCATTATCTTGCTTGAAGACCAAACATACTTAACCTAGCAGGAAATGGAGATGATCAATTGAGATGAGATCTCAGGGACAAACTCATGGAAATGCAAAAGTGGTTTTGTTTTTTTTTCTTGATAGATTGGATATTTTGTGGAGAATGAAATAGCAAGATTTGGTAATAGCATGCATGTGCAAGGAGAAGCAGAGGAAGGAATCAAAAATGGATACCTAGGCAATAAGTGGAAGTAGGAAGGGGAAAAGGTTTGGAATGCAAAATAGGAAGCTCAGTTTTATTGATGATGTATTTCAGCTACCAGCAAGCCATATAGGAAAATATGAAGAAATAGCCAGATATGCTTAGCCTGCAGAGAATTTTGTAAGTCATCAGCATAGATATTGTTTAAACAATGATGGTTCTATTTCCATGAACACGGAAAAGATTAATTCAGTTATGGCAATTCTTAGATACTCAATTCATATCTTTATAAAGCACTTTGCCATAGACATTTACACAGGACATCTTCAGTTATAGTAATAAATCTTCCCCTGGTTCCATCCTTCAACTATCCAGAATGTATGAAAACTTTCCTAGAACTTTAATTTACATATATGTTTTTAGACATTTAGGTCCAGACCCTCAATGGTATTTAGATGCCTAACGTCCATTTATTCTGATGGGAGTTAGACTCCTAAATACTTTTGAAGATTTGGGCCTTTGTAACCATTCCTGACTCCTTACTACATTACTATCACAGCAAATGGAACAGTATTGCACATACAGCTGAAATGGGGAATACTATTGGAATGTCAATTAACAGTTTTAATCATATCAAATGAAAAGTACCAGGTGTCACAAGAGAAGGCAAAGCTGGAGTCTTATGCCCAAATAAGTGTTGTGCACTATATCCAAATTGGCAAGAAAGCATGAACTCATTGTTTGACTTTGTCTGAGTGGAATCACAGCTAAAGGAATCCAATCTAAAAGGTAGCTGTTGTTTTGTTCACAGAAGGCCACATTCTGGAGGATGTAAACAAGTGCATCCTTGCACTGAGAGAACAGGATGCTGATGATTTAGATCGTGCAGCCGGTGCCATCCGAGGGCGTGCTGCAAGGGTGGCTCATATTGTCTCTGGTGAAATGGATAGTTATGAGCCTGGGGTTTACACTGGAGGAGTGATGAAAAAAGTTCAGTATTTGACAAATACTGGTAAGTCTGGATTTTAAACCAATCTAATTCCTTTTCTGTTATACGCTGTTTGTGCTACTGATTTTAAAATAGAATAACTCCATGATCTAGTGAGTTAACACCAACTTTGCCTTGAGTTCTGTTATCTCCTCTCAACAAACACAGTATCTTTTTGTGATTACAGCATACAACTTTAAAAATTGAATCTTTGTAAAAATATTGTTAGCCTACCAGAAATCCTTTTCAGCATTATTTATATAAATTCAAGTGACCCCATCTAGCCGTCTTGTGACTAGTGAAGCAACAATTTTTAGCAGTATTCTGCCAGCCTCATCATATTCCTTAAACATATTCATGGCAAAGTCATTGATATCCCAGGTTTGCTTTTATAATGTGTGTACAGTATAAATGAAGCCCTTTGTGTTAGCAACAAGTATATTTTTTGCTCTTAGCAATATGAGCTCCAAGTGTATCAGGAGCACCTTTTAGGTATAGGAAAGTTGAAAGTTTTTTAAAAAGAGAAGACCAATCCCTTTTGTGATCACATGTTGTATCTATGGTTATGTGAAATGAAAAGAGACTATTAACTGTGGTTAAATATCCACCCCTCCTTTGCTATGCAAAGTCTGATCCCTGTGCAGCCAGTGGAGAGAATATATTATTAATTCCTTTATAGATGGTCCTCAGCTGGGCCTGTCAAAGAATAGAAGATGAAGCCACCATATTGATAAAAGGATTTAAATTGCTTTGTTGTACAACGCTTTCTACAGTATCTACTTTAAAGGCTGATTTAAGATTCATGAAAAACAAATGTACAAAGTATTTTACTATACATGGTACCTTTTGAGGTTTACAAAATTCTGTAATTTGTCCAGCTATGCTGGAAGAAAGGCAGGGGGCAATAGATGTGGTTTAATTAGGCTGCAGCTTTATTCACCCACAATATCTGGGTGTACCTGGCAACATAAAGTGTACAGTGCAGGTCATCGTTATTTCCTTAACCAGTCCCACCTGTTTGGGGAGCTGCTGCCAGCCCTCTCCCTTTCCAACCTGGGTCTATTGCTGGGACTCTGCTGCCCAACACCTCGTATAAAGGGACTGAAAAGGAAGGGGGTGGGGGTTGGCTCCACACTGTCCCAGATATTAGAAACCCTGAACCCCCTTCCCCAGCTTCCTTAATAGATGCTTTCCTCTAAATTCTCTTCTCCTCCATTTTAGCTGATCAGCATATCCCTTCTGTAATGAGTACCTGCACTGGACGTCTGCTACGTGTTTTTGTATTACTGGGTCATTACATTTTAACTTAACCTCTCTGCCCACCCAACCAGGTCCCTGACCCACTGTGGGGAGGGTGAAATAACCTACACTGTTTCAGTCAATCTGGCGGCAAGGGAAAAAAATCCTTACCAGTCTCCAGGGAAAAAGGTCAACTAGCTTAATGCCAACAGCAGATCATAAAGAAGCCCAGTTCTACTCTGATTCCATGGATGGGATGAGTAGTATTGACAGCCTGATCCCAGTGAGATAGGGCTTCTCCGGAACTGCCTAGCTTATAAATACCCTACCAAAGTCACCAGGAAGGGCAGTGCCCCCCACAACCTGGTCCAGCAACTTCCTGTTCCTCCTTGCCCCGCCCAGGTAAATCTTGCCCCTCTGCCATCAATTGCAGAGAGAGCCCTTACAGAGTAACAGCATTTTTTCTCCCAATCAGCCAAATAAAGGGTCCATCACATGCAGTTGTGGTGAACAAAGTTTCATAAGTCTGGAGAGGAAAGTAAATTGAATGTTCAGCATTTCTTCCTTCCCCTTATTTCTACCATCACTTCATTGGGACACTGTAAGTCTGTTGGATATAAACTGGATCCTTAATATCTAACTTTTAAACTGAAAAGCTTTTGTCTTCTATATAAGACACCAAATCAAAAGGAACTCCCAAGACTTGTGTGTTCTTTGACTAGTTTTGATTTCAAGAGCCGACCTCTTACCAAATTGCTCTTATCCAGTTTTCTGGTGAGTGCAGACTGCTTTAGAATATAGTCTTTAATTATATAAATGTTGATGTCTAAAGCCTACATCCATCAGCAGAATTTCCTATACAAGTCTTCAATGTGTCAAGCTTGACTGACATTCACTTAGTGTACATTCAAGAAAAGAGGGGCATTTTGTATGAGCTCATTCTTAGTCAATCAGCTCAAATTAGGTACAAGCTGGAGCTGCATACATTGGGAACAAGAGCAGACTGAGGTCCCAAGAAGTTGCAAAAAGTGGGCATGATGATGTATAGAGTTTGAAAGAAATGTAGTCTTTGTTTTCCTTTTGACATTTTGATGAGGAGAGAGCCTGAAAAATTGTAGAACAACATACTTTTCTCATTACCTGTTAAATGAAACAACAAAGACAAATAACCAAAGAAGAGGTATAGAGAAGCACAGCCATCTGTTCTGTGGTACAATCTCAGTCCTTCGTCCTTGCGGATGGGTAGTGTTTAAACTCTGTGGGAACTGACACTGATTTCTGTTCTGTTGCACTTCAGTGACAGTGTATATCCCTAAATTGGTGTAGCTAAGACAGACAGGAAGAAATACAGCCTTTTTTGTTGGAAAATGTGGTTTGTGTCAAGGCACATTGGTCACAGTGTCATGAGTTTGAATTTCTTTGTAATATATTGAACATCAGAATCCAATATCCTTAAATTATTCAGTAAGAGTGAAAAGAAGGAACATACATTTTTCATCGTTATCATTATTTGTACATTCTTCAGTGAATAAATATGAAATCCTGAGAGGTTATTTTCCCACTTTGACTTCAGTGGAAATTGCAGGTGCTCAAATCACTCAGAATTTGCCCCAATAAGCACTGTCATTGTGGGGGTCCTTCAAGCAAAAACCAGCCAATAACCAGGTGGGTTTTTACTTAGTTATTTGTATGTATGCTGCCATAGGCAACTAATTTAGTTTCTATAAATTACTCAGGGCAATGTAGTGATCTCTCTGCTTCCTCTATATCTAGTGCAAATGAAGCATGTTTCCAATGGCATATCACTGTTAGGCCAATCTTTCCCCTGTTATTAATACTGTCTGAATAACTGTGAATAATCAGACATAAGGGAAAGGTGAACAGAAATATTTATTACTTTATGCTAACATACCAGGTGTACAAAAAATAAGCAGGAACACTATCTACAGTGTTAGCCAAGGAAACACATTTGTATGTAGGACAATATACAAATTATTGTTATGAGAGTAAATATGCTATTTCACAGTAAAATCAATGGGCTCATTTGAATTCACAGAACTCATTTAAAACCTCTTTGAGTAGATCTACAGGAAGCCTTATAAAATACTAGCAATACTCTTTTTCTCTTTCAATTTTGTTCTACGGGCTGGAAATCTAGGAGAACATTTCCCCCTCTGTAGTCCTTGGAAAAATTTAGCAACCAGGGAGTCCAATATCCTTCTGTTAGAGGCGGTCCAGGATTCTATCACCTTTCTGAGTTGGTGGCAGCACATATTATCAGAGCAATGTCCAAAACTCAACCAATGGCCCCTGTAAGTTGCAAAGAATTCAAAAGATGCTGAGGTGCTCAAATGATGCCCCCATGCCCCGTCGCTTGGGCCAAAACTTTGAAAGGTCTCAATTCTGCCTTCTTCCTATTCTACTCCTCTCATGGTAATGCTCTGCTACTTACCCCAATAAAGGAGAACTAACAACTTAAAATGCCTTGTTCAAAAATTTTAAGTAACACTTAACTTTCAAATGCCTGAACAGCAAATGTAACTTTTCTTGTCTGCATAGTAAACACTGGCATTTTTATCTGTTTGAATAATCAAAGTGGTGCTTTTCGTGCCTTCTTGGTTGCAAAGATTTGAACTGCTTCCTGAAGGTCCACAGTCTGGGCCAGCTCATGCTCTATTGAGATGGTCGCAAGGCCAACCAGCCTCTCCTGTGTCATGGAGCGTAGATGTGTTTTTTATTAACTTCAACTTGGAGAAGCTGGGTTCTTCACTGGCAGCTGTTACAGGAAGTGTTAGAAGTATGCGTAGAGCAACAAAAGCATTTGGAAAGAGTGTGGTCATCTTATTTGTGCACATATATTCCAGAAAAGCCTTTGGAGTTGATCCTGCTGAAATGTATCTTGAAAGGGCTTTCAGTTCATCACCTAAATCACTCACATCACTATCGCACATGTCATCATGTGTCAACACTGTCTCTAGTGCCCTGCATTGCTGGTGTAGGTTGTCTTCAGGTATAGTGAGGAGTTGTGGAATATCATACAACATCCCAAATCTACTGCTGTGTTCCTTGAGCTGCATGAAACATTCTTCAACTGACTGTATTGCACAATCTAGCACCTGGTTAAAGAATTCAACTTTGAATTGTTGTTTGGGGTTTCTTATGGGATTATCCAGGGCCAGCTCCAGGCCCTCCAGTGCTTGGGGCAGCCACTCCAGAGAGGGGCGGCACATCCAGCTATTCGACAGACAGACAGTCCCTCACTCCGGCTCGGAGCGAAGGACCTCCCGCCGAATTGCCACCGCAGATTGCGGCTCTTTTTTATTGGGGGGGGCTCGTTGGGGCAGCCAAAACCCTGGAGCTGGCCCTGGGATTATCCCATGCCTCATAATCATGTCGTCTTCTTCAGTGACTCTTGTATTCTTGAATGGGTGGGAAAATAGCTTCAGTGTGAGGTTCCTCTGCCAACTTCGATGCACTCTTCAGAATGTTTTGAAATCTCTCATCTGACTGGTAAGACTGTAGGTATGACTTTGCTTTGTTCAGTTGTTCCATTGCTCCAGATATATCAAGATCAACACTTTGGAGTCTCTTGCTTACGACATTTATTTCAAAGTGTATGTCATGCCACAACACTAAACCACACAGAAATTTGAAGTCATGTATGTTTCTGGTGATTCCATTTCCCTCTGCCACTGTTCTCCCATGAACAGTTCCTGTCATAGCATTATCCTCCATAATGGCAACTGTGGCATCATCTATCTTCCCAATTTGGTGTTTGATAGGCT